GTTATCCTAGAAACAATACCAAAAATTGTCCTAAAGCTGAAGAGCACAGCTCTCCAGACTGAAGGCTTCACCCCCACCCCCAGGGGCCAGCACAGTAAGTGCAAAAAGATCCATACCAAGGCATACCTTCATGAAATCTCACACCGGGAACAAAGAGAGTGCCATATAATCATTTCACAAAATATACATGTACCAAATCATCATGTTGCACACCTTAAACTTATATATGTTATACATCAATTGTATCTCAGTAAAGCTGGAAAATAAAGAGAGAGAGAGAGTGTGTCATAAAAACTGCCGGTGAGTAAAAACAAGTCAATGACCAAAGAACAAGAACCTGAATCATATCAGTCCTACCAAAAGCAACAATGAGTGCTAGAATTCAAAAGAGTAAAGCCTTTAGAATTCTGAAGAAACACTCTTGCAACCCAAAATTTTATTGCCAGGTAAAGTATCAACTGAATATAAGAGTAGAAAAAAGTCATTTTCAGACATGCAAGGCTGTAGAAAATATCTCATATATAGCCTTTCTAAGAAATTACTCAAAAATGTGCTCCAGTGAAATGGAAAAAGTCAAGAACATTACACAGGATTCAGGAAGAAATTCCCACTGGGGACAAGGAATACTCCTCTAGGAAGCTTGAACTACATTGTGTAGACATTGGAGGAACCATGGCTTCAAGCTGGAAAGCAATACAGTGAGATCCAAGTTTTAGAAAGAACCCTCTGTCTTAAGTCTGAAGGTGGGTTCTAAGACCAATAAGGAAGTTTTGGCACAGCTCAGGTGAAATGTAATTCAGACCTAAACTAAGGTGGTAGCAATGAGAACCATGAGACTGTGGACAGCTACAGACATATAAACAGCTAATCTAATATCTGATTAGAGGGTATAGTTCAGTTGCATCTTACTGTAGATATGCATGGCATAAATGTAGGGCAAGGGCAAGAGAGACTCCATGGGAACACAAGTCCTAGAAGATGGTGGAGAGAAAATAGGACATAAACACCAGTAGGCTTGGAGGGAAGAATCATTCCATTAGGGATTTTTTGAGTGGAGAGGCAGTACTACAACCATTTTCAAGTGTAACGGAACTCCTACCTTCCTTTCTGATAGCAGCCAGACTGTCTGATTAAAATTGTAGATCTCTGCAAGAGAGGTTAAATCCCAAAAAAGGGGGAAAAGCAATTGTTCCCCTTGCCTGACTCTATAAAGTACCAAAGGAGCATGAGTGGAGCAGCCTGCATTAGGAAAGGGCAGCAGCTCAGAAGCACTTTAGGTTAACAGCAGGTCTAATGGATAGTTAGAGCTACATCAAGTGGCTTGCACCAACAGGGAGTGAGATGGCTCCAGAGAGATTCCAATTTGGGCTATAAGTGGCCTGAGGCCCCTGAGATGAGCTTGGAGGTATAAGCAAGGGCCAGATCTTCAGGACATTAAAGGGCATGGTGGGAAGAGTAAATGTTATGTATGGTACATTGGGAGGTCACTGAAAGGTTTTAAGCAGGAGAGTGACCTTACTCAACCCCTATGTTACGTCTGACTTCTCTGGCTGCTGTGTGGAGGATGCACCAGAAGGGAAGAAGGGTAGACAAGAAAGCTATTGCACCAAGAGATTATGTTAGCTTGGACTAGAGAGCTTATACTGGAGATGTAATTACATGGATTTGGGGATTTGGGGGGAGAGAAGTTTTGTTGTTGTTGTTGTTTTTCCCTAGATTAAATGGAGTAGGCTGGGTGGGGATGGAAGATCAAAAGCTAAGTTTGGGATGGACCTGTTAAGTTGGAGTTGCCTATGAGGCATCCAGGATGAGATGTCAAATAAGCAATTGGATGTACAAGTCAAGATCGGGCCTGGAGCTGCATTTGCCGGGTTCCTTGCTTCTGACTTGTGCTGAGATAAACCCCAAGTTGGGCAAGAAAGGCATTTGTTGAACACCTACTATATGCCAAGTTCTCATCATGTTACAGATGTCTCATCATAAGTTTTACACACATTCTCCAACACCTCCTTTTCTCCATGCCTGTATAAGCACCCTCCCAATTCAGCCCCACTGGGACCCAACTGGAGGCCACCTGAGATATGCTTTTTACCGACACTCAGACAAACCATGGAATCAGTTCCTCCCTCCCAGATTCCTAATGAGTCCCTGGAGTATTGCCACACCTGGATCTGTGTTCAAAAAAGACTCCAGAGACCTGATGATAAGGGGTAGAGAAAAGTTCCTAGGGCACTGAACCTAAACTATAGATCCAAATTACAGTTACAGCTCCACCCTTGGTTTGCTGAATCTCTTTGGATATAACATGCCTCCTTTTCTTTGTCTTAGCTTTAACATCCACCTACTTCATAAAAAAAAGTTCTGAGAATTGAAGTGAGATTCTAAATTACCTAGAGAGTATCTTAAGTAATGCAGATTCCCGGGCCCCACCATCAGAGAGTCTAATCCACTTGGTTTGGGGTGTGGCTCAGGAGTCTGTATTGCAAGTAATTCCTGGACAAGAAACACTGATTTGCAGAGTGATAAATTCCCAGTTCTCACCAAATATCTGCCTCAATGCTATCCCCACCACTTGTAGCAGCTTTAAAATAAGGCCCAAAATTCTTTGACACTCCTCCCATTGTGAGATAGGTTCTATGTTCCCTGCCTTTAAATCTACAAGTTCTCTTGGGACACCCCAGATGCTTCCTCTCAAAATGCCCCCTCTCAGAACTTGACCACCATGAATGAGAAGCCCAAGCCCCACGGAAAGCCACATTAACAATCCCAGCTGAGCTGAGCTTTGAGTCATCTCAGCTCTGGCCCAGATACGCAAGTGAAGGAGTCTGCAGATAATAGCAGCCCCAGTCACTGACTTGTCCCAGCCTTCAAGTCTTCCCAGCTGAGCCCCAGACACCATGGAGCAGAGACAAGCCATCCCTGCCATGCCCTGTTCAAATTCCTGACCCACAAAAGCTATGCTAATAATAAAAAGATTGTTGTTTAATGCCACTTAGTTTTGGGGTGTTTTGCCATTCAGTAAGTGGGATGGTCCCTTCAGTATTCTCTCAAGAAATATCTATTAAAATGCAAACACAGTACTTGGAAGGATAAACTCTTTCAGATGAACACATGTAATCAGTGTATCCAACAGACAGCAAAGGAGGGAAAATGAGCCAAGAGATGCTCTCTTGTTTCACTGACATGAAAGCATCACTGGGTAAAGAGACACATAAGTTGCTTTCAGAAAGCTGGAGGCAGAAAGATAGCAACCCCTCGAAAACAGCATGGCTAAAAGAGAAAATGCTGCATCAAAAGGACAGACGAGGCAAGAGAGCAACATCTAGCTTCATTTACTTCCCAACTACATTTATGGCTGGCTCCAAACTCCCTCAGGTCTCAGCAAATACAGCAAAGTTGTTCATTTATGCCAGTTTCCCAAACATACTTGCTTAATGTTAAAAATTACCTGGGTTCACATAGTAATAAGCACCAAGGGTAATTCTTCCCACCAGGCAAGTTTGGGAAATGCTAAATTATAGAATTTTTAAAGTACATACAAAATAGACTAGCAAATGTGACACCCTTCCCTGAGAATCACTGTAGTAAGAATGGGGTTACTGTGAGAGCTTCATGTTTATAAAAAATGACTAGCAAATTCTAGCAGCCTTGAACCCTGAGAATGTAAATCCCAGCTAAGTCAAATTACAATGATATGGAGGAAGAAGCTGTAAATATTGGCATTTTCTTGCTAATAAGATACTACTAATTATATTAAACATTTTTAAATGTAATTATTAAACAATTGTAATTTTTTACAGTCAGTTAAGAATCGGACTCTTGATTTCAGCTCAGGTCATGATCTCAGGGTGGTGAGATGGAGGCCCGCATTGTCACTGGGCTCCATGCTCAGCAGGGAGTCTGCTTCTCTTTCTCTCTCTCCCTCTGCCCCTCCCTGCTAAAATAAATAAAACCTTTAAAAAAATTATAAAACCTTATGTTGGCCAGACTACTTACT